AAATCAATTTCTATAAATTACCATTTCAGCCTCATGATCTGTCCCATATCTGACATTGAACAAATTTCTTTGATTCTAACTTCATGAAATTTTGACTATAGGAGGAAGCAGACAATCCCTGATAAACATATATTCCGTTGTTGATTTTTAACAAAAGTCAACAACTGAGTACACAAATGTATAGAATTTCTATCCTAGGTTAGGTTTCTAAATACATAATACCACTCAACAGTTCAATTTATATTTCCAAAATATTTGGGGAAGTAAAGTGCCAGCCACCTTGCAATATTATCTGCTGTCAATGGTCCTCATGTGCATTCCAAATTATTCAACTCTAAGCTTAGTCATCAGATAGCTTAACCATAATATACATTTTCCAATTTGGGAATGAAAAATAAAATAATAATTCAGTGAAATTACAATTCTGGTAATTCCCATGGCTCCATTGTTCTGGCTAATTCTGTATCACTCAGAGAAGAAGGAGGGCAGTGACCACAATACTCACGATGTGGGAAAAGCTTGTTAAAAATTTTGAAATAATATCCATGGATTCCAGCAATTCCAGAAACTCCTTATCTTCAGTGGAAAAACGATGTCCAAAAACTACAGCACAGATCACATTGCTAACAAAATGTGTAATGTACACTGATGGGGCAAATGGCTGTCCTGATAATAGACAATTTTCATTAATATTCACATTAATTCTGGCTCTCCTGTTAGTAATAAAAGCAATTTCGTTTAATAGAACTTATTGAAAATAAATAAATAATGCTAGGAAGAAAAAGTTAGTGAGCCCTAGTAAAGCCAAGTAGAAAATCAAACAGATTGCATTTAGTAGAAGATCAAACAGATTCCTGACAAACCTAATATACAACTTTTTCTCCCAAAAGGTAGAGAAGGAACTAGAGGGTCAGCAATTCTGGACTTAATTCTCACCTTAATTCTCACTCTTAATTCTCATCTCTAACAGAGATGAAATGTTAGAAGGTGTTGAAGTTATAGGAACCTTGGAGTGTGTGGGGAGGTAAACATTCAATATTGGAATTCAACATTATGCAAGCTCAAACAATAGAGAAAAGTCAAACTAAAGTATTGGACTTCAAGAAAGCTGATTTCAATAAACTTAGAGCTTGAGAAGGCTCCCAGGGATGAGAATCCTCGGGGGAAAACAACCCAAGAAGCTTGGAAAACTTTGAAAATGAGATTATAAAAGCCCAATCTAGCCCAATTCCAATGAAGTAGAAAAATAAGAGATTTCAAAATAAACTAGCATGGCTGCAGAAAAAATTATCTGATAAACTGAAAGACAAAAAAGACAAGTATAAAAGGTGCATGTACCTAAGGCAGAATATCAACAAATAGCCCAGACTTGCACAGATGAAATCAGGAAAGCTAAGGCCCAAAATGAACTAAGGCTTGCTACAAAAGTAAAAAATGTTTTTTAAAAAAGCTGCTTTCAACATGTCAAAAAGCAAGAAAAAAAGTCAAGGAAATGATTGGTCCATTAATGGGAGAAAATGGTAAGAAGGTTGACGAGCAGTGAGGAGAAAACTACTTAACAATTTTTTTTTGCATCTGTCTTTATTCAAAAAGAAAAAAACCCCACCAACCTATAAAAATAGTGTAAAATGTAGATTAGAAGTACGTCAAAATAAGCAAGAAAATGGTAAGAGAACACCTATCCACTCTAGATGAGTTCAAATCACCAGGACCAAATGGATTACACCCCAGGGTTCTGAAGGAATTGGCAGACAAGATCTTAGAACTACTGAGCCACATCTTTCAAAAATCGTGGAGCACTGGGGAATTAGCAGAGCTGATGTACAGTAGTTTCCATCTTCAAAAAAGAGGGAAAAATGGATCCAGGAAACAAGAGACCAGAGAGACTAGAGAAACTATCGGCCTGACATCAATACCTGAAAATATTCTAGAAAAGATAATCAGACAACAAATCTGCAAACACCTAGAAGCAAAATTATAACCAAAAGCCAACATGGATTTGTCAAAAACAGATCATGCCAGACAAATCTTATTGCATTCTTTGACCAAGTGACAAAATTAGTTAACCAGAGGAATGCTGTGGATATAATTTACTTGGACTTCAGTAAGGCATTTGATAAAGTTGACCACAACCTACTACTTGATAAGCTAGAAAAATGTGGGTTAGACAGCATCACCACCAGATGGATTCATAGCTAGCTGATGGGCTGTACTCAGCGTGTGGTCCTCAATGGAACTGCATCTATATGGAGGGAAGTGTGTAGTGCGGTGCCCCAGGGCTCTGTTCTGGGCCTAGTGCTCTTCAACATCTTCATCAACGATTTGGATGAGGGGATAGATGAGGAACTCATCATATTTGTAGACGATACCAAGCTCCCAGAAATAGCCCTTAGGCTCAAGATCCAGGAGGATTGTGACAGACTTGAAACACTGGGCCCTATCTAACAAAATGAAATTCAGTGTAGAGAAAAGTAAGATTTTACATTCAAGCAAGAAAAACCAAATGCACAAGTATGGAATAGATGGTACCTGGCTCTACTACTAAAAACTACTAAACAAATTCTGCAGACTTAGACCTGTGCCAGTATCACTTGAGGTGATCAGATACCTTTTTTATTTCCAAAGTCTTCCAAAAATCTCTCAACCTCAGCTTGTATTTGGGTTTCCAGGCCTTTTTTCCCCAGGCCTAACTTCCTCATGGTAACAACACTCAACCGCCTTTGCTGCAACCACACGTGACCATTTGAACATGCAATACCTGAATAATCAAAGATTAAAAGGAAAGAATAGCTCACATCAATACAAAAAAAAATGTTTGTGGCTTAGAAAATAGCTCTAATTTCTGTTCCTGTATTTAAGAATGCATAAGTGAGATCAGCAACATATAACTTTAATAAGTAAATAAATAAGAATTCAATCCCTGCCTGCCTAGTTTTGACACTCAACTGCAGCATATACTTTGGAAAATGGAAATGGAGGGAAATAAGATCTCACTGTTAAAAAATGGAAAATTTGGATTCTTAATAACCTAGAAAACCTTGATTTATATAGAGAGGACAACACTAAAGAATTCCTTTTGATTATGCCAAAAATTTCCATGCCCTTTTGTCTTCATAGATGGGTTAGTTAGTACAATCCCCTATCTTAACTTTTTTCAATTTGGAGGGTTCAAGTCTTTCAGATTCCATAGAGTCATTATAATCAACTTTGTACAATACCTTTTATAACCTAAAGGTACACCAAAATGAAGATCCTAACTTAAATTGAACCAGATGTTGGCCATATATTTTTAGACATGCTTTATCAATTTCCTAAAAATTCTGCTTTTTCTTGATTTGGTCCGCAGTATTAAACGCTGCCTATTTCATGATCCTGCTCCTCATGTGAGCTACCAAATAATCTCCCTTTTAAGAATAAATTCTATGTATATGGAATTACGAAAAGAACTGTCACAGCAAAGATGCAACAATCACCTTGCTTTATGACATTTTTGACAAATTCAGTGCAATAACTCATTTCAGATTGATCATCGAACATCTGTGTTTCCTTTCATTTCATGTTTCTCTTCAACTTCTGTAATATTCCATGTCTTTATCTAAAACCTGAGTGTAGATACATGGATGTGTAGAGGCTAACTCTGGAGAGCATAGTGAATCCACAAAGTTGGACAAAACTTACCCCTTTGTTTGCAGACAGTCAATATGAATGGTGTAACCGGGCGATCAGCAAAGGCTTCTGCATGTTTAGTTAATGCTTCTTTCACTGTCTGGTATCCAGAGAAGACTATAATATAATAATTTCCACCCCACAGAGAATAAACGTTCCCATATTGCTGCGCGAGCTGCAATTTGTACAAAGTAGAAAAAGATAAATCTTCCATGTTATTATGCACAATTGCAGGTTAATGTGTGACCTTCTCTTCCATCTTGCCTTCTCATCTTCCTGTATTTTTCTTCCTCCAGAACTCAGTAAATTCAGTTACAGCCTTGTGAGGTACACAAGAAATGTACACGTTGTAATTTTCCATTTTTGCTTAAAGGAATAGGCATATAGAGGCACTTAGCTAAGGTAATTTTAGAAAAGGAAATATAGTAAGCTGAAGGAATAGAGAGGAACTATATACACTGACTCAAAGCATGTTTTTTTTAATAGTGCACACTATTGTAGAATAGCATATCGGTTATGAATAATGAACTCTGATACACACATAGCTTCTATATGAAAAGCAGGTACTCTTATAGATAAACAAGGGAAAATATAAATCCTTTATAATTGCAATTATCCAGTTTGGGTAGCAGTTCACCTTGTACATAAGCTACACCCTTAGCAGGATGTTACAGATCATGCCACAGACAAGGAAGGGAAGATAAGACAGGAACAAATAAGGCTTTTGATCTTATAATTGAAGGGTTTGGTAATTGCAATGGTTGCTAGGCGATCGGAAAGCATGTGACCAATTTAAATGTATCAACTGGGTTTCAATTGGAAGGATGTGGCATGATGCATGGGACAGGGTATAAAAACCTATGCAGAAACTGATTCAGTGTGACCCTTTATTTGCCTATAGAATGGTACACCAGCTTTTGCAAAATAATAATAATAATAATAATAATAATAATAATAATAATAATAGTAATAATAGTAATATTAATAAAAAAAGTTGGAAGGAACCTTGGAGGTCATCTAGTTCAATCCCTTGCTCTGGCAGGAAACACTATACCATTTCAGACAAATGGCTGTCCAGTCTCTTCTTAAAAACTTCCAGTGTTCGAGCATCCACAACTTCTGGAGGCAGGTTGTTCAACTGATTAATTGTTCTAACTGTCGGAAATTTTCTCCTTAGTTTAGATTGCTTCTCTCTTGGGTTAGTTTCCATCCATTGCTTCTTGTCCTGCCTTCAGGCGCTTTGGAGAATAGCTTGACTCCCTCTTCTTTGTGGCAGCCCCTGAGATATTGGAACACTGCTATCATGTCCCACCTCGTCCTTCTCTTCATTAGACTTGACATACCCAATTCCAGCAACCGTTCCTTATATATTTTAGCATCCAGTTCCCTAATCATCTTTGTTGCTATTCTCTGTACTCTTTCTAGAGAGTCTCAACATCTTTTTTACATTCTGGTGACCAATAGTGGATGCAGTATTCGAAGTGAAGCCTTACCAAGGTGTTGTAAAGTGGTATTAACACTTCACGTGATCTTGATTCTATCCCTCTGTTAATACAGCCTAGCACTGTGTTGGCTTTTTTGACAGCTGCAGCACATTGCTGGCTCATATTTAAGTGATTGTCCACTAGGACTCCGAGATCCTTCTCACAGTTACTGCTATTGAGCAAGGTATCACCTATACTATACCTGCGCATTCAGTTTTTCTTGCCTAAATGTAGAACCTTACTTTTTTCACCCTTGAATTTCATTTTGTTAGATAACGTCCAATGTTCAAGTCTGTCAAGATCCTTCTGTATCTTAAGCCTGTCTTCTGGAGTGTTGGCTATTCCTGCCAGCTTGGTGTTGTCTGCAAATTTGATGAGTTCCCCATCTATCCCCTCGTCCAAATCATTGATGAAGATGTTGAAGAGCACTGGGCCCAGAACAGAGCACCTCACTACACACTTCCCGCCATGTAGATGCGGTTCCATTGAGGACCACACGCTGAGTACGGCCGGTTAGCCAGCTACGAATCCATCTGGTGGTGATGCTGTCTAACCCACATTTTTCTATCTTATCAAGTAGTAGGTTGTGGTCTACTTTATCAAATGCCTTACTGAAGTCCAAGTAAATTATATCCACACCATTCCTCTAGTCCACTAATTTTGTCACTTGGTCAAAGAATGGAATAAGATTTGTCTGGCATGATCTGTTTTTGACAAACCCATGTTTGCTTTTGGTAATGACTTTATTTGCTTCTAGATGTTTGCTGATTCATTGCTTGATTATCGTTTCCAAGATCTTCCCAGGTATCTAGGGTGGACAGGTGCTCACTTATCATTTTCTTGCCTATCTTAACTTGTGTTTCTAATCTGTTTTTTATGGTACTGTTTTTGATAGGTTGGATTGTTTTTTCCCTTTGTGTAAATGCGGATGCAAAAAATGAGTTGAGTAGTTCTGCTTTCTCCCTATTGCTTGTCACCTTCTTGCAACTTTCTCCCACTAATGGACCAATCATTTCCTTAACTTTTTTTCTTGTTTTTTACATGTTGAAAGAAGAAGCTTTTTTTGTTATTTTTGACTTTTTTCGCAAGCCTTAGTTCATTTTGAGCCTTAGCTTTCCTCACTTCATCTTTGCAGGCTTGGGCTATTTGCTGATATTCTGCCTTAGTTATGTGCCCCTCTTTTGACTTTTATGAAACTTGTTTTGTTTTCCAACACCCTGTTTTCCATCCAAACATTGGAGTTCAATGTTTATTTCTCACAGCTTTATGTGACTCCCAGTACTATACCTGTTATTTTTCAAGAATGATTTTTAATCAGCTAATGACATTGAGAGTATAATTGTAACAGTAGGAGCAGCAGCTATTGTACAGCTCTTTTTTTTCCAACGGAGTATTTGGGTAATAAACATGTTGGCAAAAAAAAGATAGAATTGTGGTTGAGGATAGTATTCTTCGGGATGCATGGACTGTGGAATTCATTTTTTTTAATGTATGACAGCAGGAAAGCTTTTTGCATAATTTGAAGGAACCTTAGTACAAACTACAGGTAGTCCTTGACTTACAAAATTCATTTTAAGTTAGAATGGCACTGAAAAAAGTGACTTACAATATGACTGTTGTTCACACTTATGCAGCCCCATGGTCACGAGATCAAAATACTGACACTTGGCAACTGTCTCATATTTATGACAATTGCAGTGTCCTGGAGTAAATAGGTGAAACTTTGGAAAATCACATCAGATATCCCCAGGGCAGTATGCTCTCTCCATTACTCTTTTTTTCTATTTAACAATGACTCTAAGGATCTTCCTGCATCAGCTCAGAACGTTCAGACTGCCCCAGGAACTTTTGATACAGTTCTACAGAAGAATTCTTGATCTCTCATTTGTATTTCTATAACCGTCTGATTGGATACAGCAACTAAACAGGACAGATATAGACTTCTATGGAGGGTTAGGACTGCAGAAAAAAACAGTTGGCACCAGCCTGCCTTCCATTGAGGACTTGTATATTGCACAAGTCAGAGGCTGAGAAAATATCTACAGACCCCGCATATCCTGAACATAAACTGTTTTAACTCCTTTAGTTTTCTTTGATTCTCTATTTACATATTTTTGTTAACATCTTTGTCTCCTGATTATTCATCTAAAACCTATTAGCATACCAAATTCTTTTAATTTCCCCATTGATATTTCTGCTCCTTTGAATAGATCCTCTAAAAATAATATCAAATCATCAGCAAATGCCTTTAATCTATAAAATTCTCTTTTGATCTTTATTCCCACCATTCTCTCATCTGTTCAATATTTCAACAGCCAATGCTTCAACAACTACAATAAACTATTAATCATAATTTATGAACATCAAACACATATTCACGTTGATTGGATATTACAGCAGAATACAATTTATGACTATTTATTCAGTGAATGTTCAAAATTATGATGGCACTGAAGGAAGGGACTGATGGCTTTGGCCCAAAGGTATAGCTATTGCCGCCCCACTGAGGGAACATGAACACGGAGTGGGGCAAACAACATCCCTGAACACCAACTAGCGGTCAGAAGATATGATGAAAACTGCTTAATTTCACAACACATGGACAGATTTAACCATCGTTTCAATTGGGAAACTGTGAGCCTCCAAGACCAAGCCAATTCCAAGAATGCTAGAGAATTCCTGAAAGTCTAGCACTGGGACAAATCAAGTGCTAAGCAGAAGGAATCCAGCCCTCTACTCTGTGATATTATTATTATTATTATTATTATTATTATTATTATTATTATTATTATTATTATTATTATTATTATTATTTAGATTTGTATACCGCCCTATCTCCCTTACGGGACTCAGGGCGGTGAACAGGCGATAATAAAAATCACAATAAATATCAAGAGCTCTTAGCCTTCTCTAAACATGCCAATCTTTGCTGCTCTTCTTTGCATTCTTTCCCATCCATCCCAGATGCAGTCTGACCAATGCAGCATAGATTAGGATTATCACTATGCTCTATGCTGCATTGGTGGCACAGGAGCCATGGCGGCGCAGTTGTTAGAATACAGTATGGCGGGCTACCCCTGTTCACTGTCAGGAGTTCAATCATGACTGGCTCAAGGTTGACTCACCCATTCTTCCAAGGTCAGTAAAATGAGGACCCAGATTGCTGAGGGGAATATGCTGACTCTGTAAACCACCCAGAGAGTGCTGAAAAGTACTATGAAGTGGTGCTATTGCTATCACGTTCTGTGATTTTGATATTATAGCTCTATCGATGCAGCCCTAAACTGTATCGACTCAGCATACTGCTGGCTCATGCTTGTTGCATGGTCAACCAGGACACCCTTGTCCCTTTCACAAGTACCACTGCTGAACCAGGTACTACCTATATTATCCCTGTGTATTTGCCTAAATAAATATATTTCTCACTATCCAGCAACATTTTGTTGGATAGTGTTCAAGTCTCTGTATTGTTATTTGATTAAGCATTTTAAAAGACATACCTCTATTAATGTCTTCTCTGACAAGAAAGTCCCTTCCAACAGTCTTCCTGCTATCAAGGAAATTGGAGAAGGTCCTGGGGGGTGGTCTTTGCGTTTACTGAACTGTTTCAGAAAAGAAAGTATCAAGCACAGAATCACAGTGATAAAGAATAATAGCAGCATCACCATTCTCCTGCCTTTGAGTGGCTGCTGTAAAAACGTGGGATAGAAGACTTTTCCCTATTGGCTTTCAATTTTCTTTATAGATATGCTTCCTTTCTTGCCTTGGTATTTTTCTGCTACCACTGCCCTTTATATTTTGTGCTAATTAAAATACCTTGTGATTATCTCAACCAATAAGCTGTGGATTATATCCTTTCGCAGATGTACGACACGAATACAATTGCATGAAGTTGAAACATCAGAGATTACACAACCCTAGTTTTGCAAAGGATCAATTATGTATCATAGATACCAAGGATGGCCAAGTCATTATGGGGAAAAATGATGCCATGTCTTTTTATTTCTAGAGACTTTAATTGTTACTCCTGATGGTCTCTGAGATGTATATCAAAGGAAGATACTGATATCTTCTTTTAAGGTGTTGCTTTATTCCTGGCTTCCTAGCAACTTCTCATAAACATGTTTTTGTATTCCCTAATTGACACTGGGGACAATGCTTGCTTTTCCGCCGGTCCAGAGAAATAGGTGTAGCTTTCAAAAATTACCACAGCTACAGAAAATAATGTTTATTCTTAAAAGACTTTTTAAAAATGTTTATTCTTAAAGACTTAATGGTATTGAGATATTCTTCTTCCGTAAGGTTTTAATTTGAAATAGCTTATTGGGAGTGGGAGATTTGGCTTAATTAAATGGTGGCCTCTTTGATGCCATTTATTTGGCTAAATCTCTAAACTAGCCTTCCCCAGTCTCACATTCTCAAAATCTGTGGGAGGAAATCTCATCTCTGGCCAATCTTAAGAACATGTTATTGAGACCTATTTTTCTTCTTCGGGAGTCAGTGGATAAATTAAGAGCTAGGGATGTCAGATTAGCCTTTCCCAATCTAGTATCTCCCAATATGTTAGATTTGAAAAATCAAGGATTTCAGCTGGGAACCGTGGTTATTTCCAATCTGAATTCACTGTATTGTGGAAAACTAATGTAGATCCTTAAGGAAGTTTTATTTAGCAGTGTGTGGGGTTTTTTGACTGCTTTCACAAAACAATGGTAGAATGCTGACCCACTGTAAATGGCTTCCAGAAAATAATTGAATTTTATGATGGATCTACTATAGTTTGTATTGTGGACTCTTTTTTCTAGGACAATCAAGGTCACAAATCAGGATAAAAGAATAATAGGGACAGATTGTACTGCACGTGTCAAGAGCATTGAGATGTTTCCAGGTTGGAAGGATTAGCTGATAAAAATCACGGCTGTCTGGGGGATGCCCAGTTCATTGTAGCATTCCTATGCTCATGTGAAAAAATTCTGGCATTTGGCAACATACAACATACTGTATTCTTTGAGTCTCAAGGTCATGTGATCACTTTTTGCAACCTTCTGACAAACAAAGTCAATGGAGAAGCCACATTCACTTAACAAATGTCTCACTTAGCAACAGAAACTTTAGGCTCAATTGTGATTGTAAGTCAAAGACTATCTGAATACAATCTACTGTAGTAAGTCAGCACTCCCGCCCCCAAGAATGAAATATTTTGAGGAATATTAAAAGAGGCAGGGTAGAATATTTCCCCTAAAGGAGAAATGGAGACAAAAATCTTAACAAAGGCAGAAAGCAGCCCCAGCCTCAAGAAAAAAAAACATAAAGAGGCCAGTCTTTAGGAGACTGTGATCCATTCAGAAAGACTGGGACATTCTATTCATAAGCAAAGAACAAAAAGAGACTCCAGATATGCAACACAATTAGGCAAGCCAAAAGTTGACAAGATTAGCTCAGAGAAACACCCAGGACTTGCATTTCCCCTTTTCCCTATAGAACCAGCCATGACCCCTACATGACCCCATAGGAATCTGGCAACAGCCATTAGAATATTAAAGGACATGTTCTTGCACAGAAACAGGCATCTCAAATACAAAGCCCAAAGAAGGTGTAAAAACCCACCCGCTCTCAACTCCATTTTGTCAGCTGTCCCAGAACTGCATGCTGTTGCTGGTTCTGTTCATCAGTAAACAAGAACCTTCTTTCCTAAGGAGTCAGCCTTCATTTTTTTATTCCCGGCTTGGAATTGGACCTGATGTTTCTTCCAACACTACTGTTCCTTTGCTTTTTTTTGCATAGTCTACAGTGTAAATCATTTGTTGATTTTTCAGTTCTAGCCTTGGCTGCATTAGTTCAAACAACTTGTTTTTGAGCAGCTAAAATCAAGCCTTAGGTTCCTTTTTAAAAAATGTCTCAGTGAAAATCCCATCAATAGGTACCAGACTTGAAAAAAAGGCAAAATTAGCTGCCAGTGTTCTGCATCAACAAAGCAAGGACTTTCACAGATAAAAGAGGTCCTGAAACATGGCCATTCCTTGACTCTTTGGATCCAGACTTGATCACTTCTGTCCCTCTGGCAGCCTAGTTGAGAAGGACATGGGTAACTGTGGATGAGTGTTTGTGTGTGTGAGAGAAAGAGCAAATATATGATTTAACTAGTAAAATTTTGCTGTTACTTCAAATTCACCAGGTATCTTTATATTCCCAAAAAAAGTTGTGCCTTAGTGTTTGATTGAAAGTGGTTTGAGTATGGCTGTTATCAGGTCTAGGTGAGCTGAAGTGAACATAAACTGAACCTGGAGGTGCATGTAACAAGATTGTAGTTGGTTTAAGAATAGAATAACCATTTGCTTCCTGCTATGATAACCAATGTTTAGAGACTGATTACAACAACAACAATAATAGTGAGAAACAACTAGAAAAAAATAACAAAATACTGCAATCTGCAAATTGAAGTTGAGTAATTGTGGAGGAATTCAATAGTTATACCAGTAGTAATGGGAGCCCTTGGAGCAATACCAAAAGGGCTGCCTAGATACATGGACATTTTGAATTTATTAGACCTGAATATCCTGACTTTGCAAAATACCACCCTAGTCAGAACTGCCTCTATACTCAGACGCTACCTTAATAGTAGGTTCTTGGTTAGGACTTGAAATGTTTTTACCAATCCCAGACTATGAATCGAATTGAAGATCAACAACAACAACAGTTGATGACCTGTGGAGAAGAGCTTGAAGTTGAAATCACCTCTGTTGTTCATACTTTTAATGGTGCCCCTAATAAGCATTTTGAACAAAACATGGTTATGAATTCGCTAAAAAAGGGTTGAACATTTCCCATTTGCTCTACATCAGGGATGTCAAACTCGCAACGTCATGTGACGCATCATGATGTATCGTGACCTTTTCCCCATTGCCGGAGCTGGGGTGTATGTGGTTTCGGCATGACGCATCCGGCTCGCAGGCCGGCAGTTTGACACCCCTGCTCTACATGGATGATTTAAAACTGTTTGGAAAAACAAAAGCTGAATTGAGCTCATTGCTGAAAAGCATTGCTGAATTTAGTAGAACTTTATAATGAAGAGTTGATAAAAGCAGTAACACCAGAAGAATGGTACAAGTACTTAGGAATTTTGGAAGCCTCTGACTTCTTATACAACCAAGTCAAGGAAGTTGCTTCAACACAATACATAAAACAAGTCCAGAAACTCTTGAGATCAAAGCGAAGTGGAGGAATTATTATAAATTAACCCCTGGGCAGTACCTGTAATGTGATATTTAGATGGAATAATTGATTGAACTCAGCTAGAACTTCATAACTTGGATCAAAAGATTAGAAAACTAATGACTATGTACCATTCTCTGCACCCACAAAGTGATATTGATCAATTGTACTTGCCTAGATCTCAGGGTGGCAGAGGACTTTACAGGTTAAACAAACTGTGGAAGAGGAAAAAACATGGCTTAAATGACTACATTAAAAAAAGCAAAAGATCCTCAGCTGAAGGAGGTGATCAAGGGAAACCTCTTGAAAATGGTGAGCTTGAAAGCAGAATATCGAAAGAAAACAATTGAGCATCAAGTTTCTAAGAGGAAAAAGAAGTCTAAGCACAGTCAATACCTGAAGGACATTGAAGAAAAAATAGATACAAAGCTAACATGGGGATAGTTGAGATAGGGGTGCTGAAGAAAGAAACTGAAGGCTTCATTTTGATTGCCTAAGAACAAGCCCTGCGGACCAATTCCAAATTCAACATGTCAGTAATGACAGCAAATATCGTTTATGCAACAAGACAGATGAAAGAGTGGATCACTTTATCAGTGGCTGGAGCAAAATCTCACAAACTGATTACTTACAACAGCAGAATCAAGTTGCCCAAATCATACACTGGAAGCTTTGCCAGCAGTTTGGGTTCGAATGCAGCAAAAATGACTGGGATCACCAAGTTGACAAAGTTCTTGAAAATGAACAGGTCAAGATCTTGTGGGACTTTTGAATCCAAACAGACAGACCTCTGACTCACAACATGCCTGACATCACTATTGTGGAATAGAAAAAAGTCTGCTTCATTGATATTGCAATACCAGGTGATGCATGAATTGAAGAGAAACAACTAGAAAAAATAACGAAATACCACAATCTGCAAATTGAAGTTGAGCGATTGTGGAGGAAAAAATCAATGGTTTTACCAATAGCAAGAGGAGCCCTGGAGCAATATTCAAAAGGTTGCCTGAATACATGGAAATTTTGAAGTTATTAGGTCTGAATATTCTGACTTTGCCACAACCCATCTTACTTGGAACTGCCTATATACTCAGACATACCTTAACAGCTTTTAGGTTCTTGGTTAGGACTTCAACTGTTAAGTTTTTACTAGTCCCAGACTGTGAATCAAATTGAAGATTAAATCAATGCTGCTGCTGCTGCCGCTGCTGCTGCTGCTACTACTACTACTACTACTACTAGTAGTAGTAGTAGTAGTAGTATGTGGCAGTGCCTGGAGACTGCAGAATAGAAGAGAAAGAACTAGAGAAGATAACAAAATACAAAGACCTACTGTGGCAAAGGCAAGTAAGGGTAGTATCAATAGTATTAGGCACTTTGGGTGCAATCCCAAATCAACTGGAGCACCACCACCGGAAAGATTTAAGATAAATCTTAAAAAGACTTACGGTATGGAGCAAAGTCAGAATGTGAAATACAATTGTGTGCTGAGCATGTTCTTGCAAAAATGTATGAATTGTTATTAAAATCTGAAACAGAAGAAGTGGTTGTATGCATGATAAAATGAGCTAAAATTTTGGTTATGACAAATGGATCAGTGTGAAAATATGTGATTGAAAAGATTGGAATTTGCACTTTGTTATACTCTTATAGACAATTTTTATAAAATGACATATCATTGGTATATGTCACGGGAAAATGATCAAGAACGTATGAAGGTTCTTAGTGCTGGAAATGTAACTAAGAAGAACGGACATTTCATCCTGCTGAATGGATGTGTAAAAGGTTCATATACAACTGAAAGCAGTGATTTTTTGTGGGGGGACTGATAGATAAGCTACTGGGGGGAAACACATGGAACTTTGTTTTTATATATGAAAGCTGCAGCAAGACCAAAGGTACAATTTAAATGTTGACAATTTAAATTATCACATCATCATCATCATCATAATAATGTTGGGAGGGACCTTGAAGGTCATCTAGTCCAACCCCCTGCTCAGGCAGGAAACCCTATACTATTTCAGATAAATGGTTGTCCAGTCTCTTCTTAAAAACTTCCAGTGTTGGAGCATCCACAACTTCTGGAGGGAAGCTGTTCCACTGATTAATTGTTCTAACAGTCAGGAAATTTCTCCTTAATTTAGATTGCTTCTCTCCTTGATGAGTTTCCACCCGTTGCTTCTTGTCCTGCCTTCAGGCGCCTTGGAGAATAGCTTGACTCCCTCTTCTTTGTGG